CTACTCGAAATTGAAGTAATCCCAACAATTATGAAACAAGAGATTCCTCGAAACCCAACTTTTCTTCGTAGATATGAATAGACTTTACGTTTCCATTGAATTTCACATAGTCTTGCTCTCAAAAGCCTACTTACAAACAAAAAGCACTGTCTATTTGATATAACATGACTTTTTACTTCGAGGCAGAAGTTGGTTTGAAGGAAGTCGTAAATTATTATCAATGGAAGCTGAGAGAAGTTAGCCTCGGAACGAAGAACATTGGATTGTGTGAATAAGTCCTCTGTACACGATCCTTGGGATCGTAGGACGGTGAGCCAGGCTTCGTCATACAATCCAATAGTCTTCCTTCGTGTTCCGGTGAGAACAATTTGCTAATTTCTTCCAAACAACTGATACTTATGAATGAAAATTCGTGTCACAGTCATTCACTACGGCAATCTTCGAGAGCCAGCTTCTCAAAATCTATTTTTTTAGATTAATAAAGATGACTACTGCCAAATATTGTATTAGGCACAGAGTTATCAGTAGAAGGGATCTCGATAGAAGGAATTCTTTGCGGCAATAATCTGATGTCGGGCTTATAGCCGCCGGGATTGTACATGAAGCATCCGTCATTTGCAGTCACCTCGTGTTCAGCGTGGTCAAAAGAGCAGATTTCAGACTGCACGAGCTGGTCGCTTGGGTTACGGTTGGCCGAAAAGCAGGCACACACGCTATCTTGGCAACCTACACATCTCCTGTGACTGGTCCCTCTGGGACAAAGGGACAAGGTGGTCGGCAATTCTAAAGAGACTGTAGGGCTGGCGGGGGGCCTATTGAACAGGCGGAAATCCGGTGGGGCGAAAGGGACATGAGGAATCGCTAGTGGAGCCGAGGCCTGTGAACAGCGCACCAAGATGAGGGCTTAGATGGACACCGAGGCGTTAGTTGCGTTGGCAGCTGAAGTCAGCGCCTGGGAGGGAAGTGGACCCCTGGGGTGGAAGGAAGCGAAAAAGCTGTACGAGAATCTCAACCCACCACCAGTCAGAGACAGGGTGGGGCTCACACAAGAAAAAACGATCTGTCAGACATGATTTGACTGGGCTTAAGCGACAGTGACT